TATATATATATATATATATATATATATATATATATATATATATATATATACATACACACACATATATATATATATATATATATATATATATATATATATATACACACACATATATATATATATATATATATATATATATATATATATACACACACACACATATATATACATATATACATATATATATATATATATAGTGTTATATATATATAGTTATATATAGTTATATATAGTTAGTTATATATAGTTATATAAAGTTAGTTATATATAGTTATATAAAGTTATTTCTGATTTTTTCAGCGCCGAGAAGAATCTTTGCGGGTGGAGGGAAAAATCTTCCCTTAAAATCAGATTAAGTCATTTGCCTTAAAAGTGTCCAGAAAAGGGGAAGCTTTGCTAGGGTTACCCACGTCAGCTTCTGGACTGTTTCAGGAGTTTTTTTCGATGGTTGTTTGTAATCAGCAATGAAATCTTACCGGGAGACACGAAAACCGGATTGAAAAAAGCCCCCCCCCCAGTCAGTTTTCAAAGGGGGGGGGGTGGGAATCAGAAGCAGGGTTCTGTAGTTCAAAGACGATTTTCCTTGCTGTGTGTATTGTGGTCGCCCCCCCCCCCGTGGATTCGGGAAAATTCTTGCGGGTGTCTTCTCTGATTCTGTACCTGGAAGGTACCTGTAATTGGTTTTCATCCGAGCCATGCAGTGGTTTGGAGGTCTGGGGGCGCCTGGAAGCCTTCGCCCCGTTGTTCATAAGAGCTTAGCGCCTTCCTGGGAAGTGAGGCTCAGCAGTTGAGCGGGCCTTGAGTAGTAAGAAAGGATAAGAGCTCGGGGAACCATAGAAGGAAGAAAGTGGCATTAAAGAACAAGATGGGGCTGAAGACTTGGGAACTATGGACAGATGTGGTGGAGGTGGCAGCTGTTGGTTGGTTGGGTGCTTTGGCCAAGGCACCGAATGAAGTTCTGAAAGAATGAGATGAACTCAAGGACAGATAGAAGAAGAAGGTTGGGGGGGGGGGAATCTTCTTTGGAACACACACAAAAACCCAAGGATTTCTCTCTTCTCTATTTGCTTCCATTTGTTTTAGATCGATCTAGTGCCTTGGATGTAGAGAAAAAGTTAATAAAGACAGCTTTCCAGCCAGTTCAGAGGCGGTAAGAGTTTATCTATTCCTTAGATGAGCGGATCTATGGAAAGGGAAAGTTAATGGGGGTGGGGGGGGCGGAGAGGGGGGGAGGAGGAGCGGGAGCATTGGCTTAGAAAATCGGTTTCGTTTGGAATTGAATCGTGGCCTTCTAACTTCACCAAGGCAAAAATGTCATGGAAGCAGTTACGGTTTACTTCCAAGCACACTTTATGAGGGTTGAATCAAGATCGTATTAGGGATTATTATTATTATTATTATTATTATTATTATTATTATTATTATTATTAGGCCCAAGTTTAGTGCTTTAATCTACATTTAGTGGTTTTAAGTCTAACCACTCTCAACTAATATCGTTGTCTCGAATTATTATTATTTTTAAACCCTCTCTGGAGACACAATTGTTGTCCCTGTGTGTGAATATGCGTGTAGGACGTGGGTTTTATTTTTGTTGTTGTTAGAATAAATTGCCTCCACTACATTCAAAATGGGCTGTATTTTTAAGAAGTGGTTTAATAGGTAAAGATTTGACATTTGGTTAGAAAATGTATGTTTGTGGAGAAAGAAGGCTAGATTATAATTAACTGCTTAAACCATCAATATAAATGAACAGGAATAAGCAAACCAAAATCTTAAGTCTAAAAACAAAACATTTTGGCTCCCGCCCTTTTGCCAAGCTCCAAAATATATGTTTATTTTTTTATTTTTAAACTTCTGTGGGTATGTATATACAATATAGGCATAATACAAGAGAATTAAGCATGTTTTTTTTAGCCCACTAACCTCAGAAAAGTGAGTTGGGAAGGATTTTTTTACGAATCTCTTGAAAACAGAAAGGGGAAATGCAAATACACACAGATAATTTTTTTTCTAAAAAAAAACAAAAAACTGGGAAGCCAGCAGCAGCTGCAAACTGTGCGGCATTCTGCATTTTCGTAATTAAAATAATTTGAAATGAAAGCTTTGGTCCAGAATACATTGGTGTCCCTGTAAAAGTAAAAGTAAAAAAAAAGAAAAAAAGAAGTCCTATTAATCTGGTATTGTCAAATTAATTAAAAGCATTCCGAGACCTTCAAGACTGGCCCATGTTTTTATTTTATGGCTGAAGGGCCAAGGGAGATGTAATTCTCCCTCTTCAAATGCTAATTCCACAATAAATTTAAATCAAGGAAGAAAACTCTTGCGTATCCCAGGAAACCTTGATTTGCATTGGGCTAATATTAGCTCAAACTCAAAACAACGACATATATTTTGCCATTTAATCTACAGTACCCAAAATTTTCTTTTCTTTTTTCTTTTTGTCTTGTAGGCCTCAGAACCAACTTGATGCAGCTATGGTTCTATCGGCATTGTCATCATCCTAGTTAATTCTCTCTTTTTTTTTCTAATTATTGTTCTAATGGTTGTAAAATAAAATTATCTGTATAGTTACAGCTCGTACGCATGTCTGTGTATTACACGAAGCAAACAAGTGTGTGTGTATGAGAGAGAGAGAGAGAGCGGGAGGTCAGAACTCCATTTCGGTTAACTCGTCTGGATTAGCTGAAGTCGTGAAGTATTTTTGGGTGAAGTTCTGGTGTGAGAAGTCAGTTTCTTTTTGTATATAGAGCCCAATATATACACAGGCGTCCAAATGTACATAACTGTGAACCAAACTGTACAAGAAAGTATATACATATATATATATTTTGGCTAATAAACTGTTGCCACTTTGACTTACGCTTTTTCTGAGACGAGCTGGAACTGGATTTGCATTTATTTTGATGGGGGAGAGACGTCCATTGACACTTGGGAAAGGCAAGCCGTGATTCTCTAAGTAGGAAAAAAAAATCTGTCACGGCTCTGTGGAAAAGAAAGAAGCGAGGAGAGAGGGGGGGCAGTTTATTAGCCAAAATATATATATATGTATATACTTTCTTGTACAGTTTGGTTCACAGTTATGTACATTTGGACGCCTGTGTATATATTGG